AAGGGAATTTTTTTTGGAAAAAACTTATTTTTGATTTTGTTGTCTCTTTGCTCCCACAAAACCTTGTGTGAATGGCACCAGTAACTGCAGCTGGGAGGGGCTGGAGATGAGGGCAGAGGAACTGTTCAGCCATGTTATTGAATGTATTGACAGTTTAAATGTGGTATTCAGCATGGGAAGCAGATCTCAGGGGACAGACAGAGTTCCCCATCCCAGAATATCCCAGCAGGAGCTGAAGCTAAAGATGCCAAAACCTCCAGGCAGTGCAGGAACGGAGCCACAGCTTCCCACATCCTGCTGTAGGCCTGGGATTTTTGGATGAAAGGGAAACCAGTGCTCTTCTGTCTCCTCAACTGGAAAATCACACAGAGCCCTATCAGGCCTTGAATAAAATATGGAAGAAAGTGATGATTACTGCTCTCAAATAATAGATTAAATTATAATTTAATCTAATAATAGTTAAATTTATTAACAGTTAAATTTATTAATAATAGTTAAATAGTTAATAATAGTTAAATTTATTTAATAATAGTTAAATTTATCTATTTGTATCCCCTGTGGTCCTCAGAGCATCCTTTGAGCAGTGAGATGAAAATGAGAGGAGTGGGAGTCTGGTGTTTCCTTTTCTTGGGTGAGAAGCTGACTATCTTTGCTGGCTTTTAATGCACCATGTTGTATACATCTGTTTGGTTGTTTTTAAACCCAACCTGAATAGGATTTGTAATTTTCAAAACTCTGCAATAGGAATTTTTAGCCTCATGGGAATATTCCATAATTCCTTCTCTTTGCAATGGAGAAAAAATTATTTCAGTAGACATGGATTGAACCACGATCTGCTTGTAAATTCTTGGGGGCTGGGCATAAAACTCAGCTGAAAAGAAACATCAGCATCAGGAGGAGTATAGTGCAGAAGGATGGGGGAAGGTGCCTTTGTCTGGTTCTGGCAGGAGAGAGGAGAGTTTGGCTGGAGGAGATCCAGAGAGTTGTAAGGAGATTGACTGGAGGTCTGAACAAACCGGAGCTGTTTGGCTCTAGCTGGGAGAAGAGCAAGGCAGGAAAAGCATCTCCAGGTGCCTGAAAGGGAAGGGGGTGGTTGCTCTCTGTGTACACAATGGGAAGAGCAAGAGGTCACAGTCCTAAAATTGCAGAGAAAAAAGTTCAGATTAAATCATGGGCAAAATTAGGGCAGTACTTCACCTGAAAGTAACAACAGGATTTGATGGTCTGAAGAGCTTGTGGAGCATCACTTGTCAGAGGTTAAAACAACTTGGAAATAATCTTTCTGATATTTCTTGATGGTCACTGATGCACGAGGAAGATGCAGTTTATTCCCCTGCAGTGGGAGTTGTCTCACTGCTCTCCTGTGCTCCCTTTCCTCCTGGCCTGGAGTGGTGAGGCTGGGGAAGGTTGTTTTTGATCTAAAATAAGCAAGAGATGAGAAATGATGTTCTGTGGCTTAAATTTTCAGGCACTTAAAAAAGATTGACGTGACTAAACATAATGTAAGTCTGCATGCCTCCCTACAAAAGCAGATGTTGCCTAGAAATATTTTATGCTCTTTGGTTCTGAAATTGAATGTTATGGACATTAAATTGTACAACATGCCTCTCTCGGTGGTGAAACTTTTCTGAGATGCTGGTTCACTCGAGTTGGAAGACACGGGAGGGGAGTGAATGATGTTGCTTTTAGTACAGCTATTTCTCTTTAAAGAAAGATCAGTGAAGTCGAGTTCCAACTCTGTAAATACTGGAGAAATAGAAACAGCCACTTCAGAGATCCTGAATGGTAACTTGTCAGTCTTTTAATTGTACCTTGGGATTTTTTAAAATCAGTGTTCCACAAGCAGCAGAGGCTGCAGGGCCAGACAGTCTCTGCTGGGCAGTGTCAGAAGGTCTCACATGTCTGAGAAGTTTCCTTCAGGTCCATGTGGACACCTCAGGAAGGTGCCCATCTCTGCCCAAGCTGGAATCTTGCAAAGTGCCTTAAGAGCTCAGCTATTTCCTAGTTCTGAGAACTGCAAGAAAAGGTGAAGCATCCCTCAAAGCATCCCCTTTGGAGACTGGTGGGCAGGGGAATTGGTTTTGTGTTTTTCTCTATCATTTTGTTCTTCTTCAGCCCAACCTCTGTGTGGACAGAGAGGTGGGCTTGGGGCTGCTGTGCCTGCTTGTGTGAGTCTCAGGGTGAACCAGGCTTTGCTCTGCAAGGAAGCTTTATTCTGGGGCAGCCTAGTTCCCTTTTCAGTCACGTAAAAAAAAAAATCTCAAAAGAGAGCAAGATCTGTTAAGATCCCAAAAGAGAGCTAACAGCTGTTAAAAAAAAAATCTGAGGCGGGGCTCTCAGGTAAAAGGAAAACAGAATAATCTCTATTTTTGAGCGTTTGCAGTGGATTTGATTTTGAAATGTTCAGTCCCCCAGTGGCTCTCTCACAGGGGTGCTGCCAGGGGCTGGAGTTTCTCTCTCCCCTTTCTCGAGCCTACTGGCCCGGCTGGTTCAGACACTGCAGTGCTAAACCTCCAGGTACAGTAAGATGGCTCACTGTGTGTGTTGAATTTGCTATTTGGGGAAGATCTTCTCCATTCTGGAGCTGTTGGCAGGTTTTGAGCTGCTCAGTGAAGCCTTGGGAAGCCGTAAGGACGGCAGTGGGATGGTAATGATGGCTGTGGTTCTGGCAGACAGTGCAAATAACTGAGACAGAAGGACCTCAGTGTATCTTGGCTGTTGGATGCTGGGATTTTAATATCTGAAAGAAGTTAGGGGAAAAAAGCATGCCTTGGTTGTCCTTGTTGCTGTTCCAGTTTCAGTGATAAGCAGCTGAGCTGTTTGCATGTTCTGCTCCGAGGAAACCCCAGTCCCCTCTGTGTTATTCTTCTTGAAGCAGCAATTCCAGGGAATTCAAGGAGGAGCTGCCAGGGTAATCATGGCTCATGGTGCCAAATTTGCAGGGGCTTTACTCCATATTTCAGAACGAGGTTTTGGAAGACTCAGATTTATCTCTGCCTCCAGCTTAAGTTTCTATTTAAGCCACCTTTAATTTCTAGAAGCGCGAAGCTGTTCTGACTGCTGTGATCGAGGTCACTCTTTAATTTAGGTACTCCAAGGAATGCAAAATCTTGTTTGCTAAAGTCTTAGGCATATGCTGAATCCCTGAAGGGGTGTGTGAAGGATATTAAATGTACCATGGCAGGGGGAGAGGAGCAGCAGTGTTACAGGAGGAGGAACGGCAGATAAGCAGTGGGGCCATGCTGTTATCGCTCTGTTTGGGAGGTGCTGGGGTTGTGCAAGCCAATATAGGACATTTACACAAATTGCTGGAATAAAAACCCACTCCATCAGCAGTCTAGTATTTGTTTCTTATTATATGTTAAATTTTTTCTGGCACAGCAAAGTTTGTCACCTGTTATGTCAAGGTCTCGGCATTCAACACTGGGATCTTTCCAAGTGTGCTGAAACCTAATTGGTTAGGGGTAAGCCTTCCCTTCGTTTTAGGAGAGGAAAAAAAAGAAAAGCGAGGAAAAAATAAAAGGCTGTGGCATCTAGAAGGCATTTAAAGTATTTTTTCTTGTTCTCGCAAGTCTTGTGATTTGCCAGACTTAGGCCTCCTGATTTTTCTCCCCTCTGGTTCTGGGCTTGCTTTGCTTTTCCTGTGAATTAAATTGGGAGAATAACATACCACAAATAATGTGTAACAAATAACACTGAGCAGCCAGCCCTGCAGGTCTGGGGAAAGCTTTCTCCAAGCATGGCTCTGCAGCAGGGAACATTGGGACACCTGAGTGCTTAGTGAGGGAAAACCTTTGTGTCCTTCTACCCTTATCCAATTGTTTTCTTTTTTTAATACTACTGAGTTTGGTCTGTAAAATTACAGCCCAGACTAGAAATTTCTTGTCTGCAGGATGTTGGGTGAGTTTGGGGAGCTCTTTCCCGAGTTGGATTGCATCTGTGCCAGGTATTTGGTGAAATCTCTCTGTGCCACTTACTTATTTAATCCAAGAAATACAACAGCTGTGTGCAAGGCATGTGGTCAGCAGGATCCAACCTCAGAAGCAGCTCAGTGGGGCCTGGCGGGGAACTTTAGGGACTGGAGCTGGCTGAAGCACAGGGACACTTCACAGAATCATAGGATGACAGAATGGTTTAGGTTAGAAGGGACCCTAAAGATCATATATTGCAGCCCTCCTGCCATTGGGCATGGGACACTTGGGACATGCTGCTGGGAGAGGAGGACCTGTCACTGCTCGGGCAGGAGCAACAAACAACTTTAAATTTTCTTTTACTTGGGCAATCACAACCTAATTTTCCTGGTTTTCATCCTTGTTCCAACCTCTGCTCACCTTTTTCCAGGGCAACTCTTTGTTTTTCAATATGCTCTTTTCTCCCCTGGTCTGAACTTAATCCCAGAAATCCACTTGGCTGCTTATCTCTTTAGACAGTAAAGTCTAGAAATTAGGAAATACATGGAGCTGGCTCTGCTGCTTCCCCAGTGGTGAGGGAACAGGGATTGGATGGTAGTGGGGGGAAATGAAGGGGAGAAAAGAAGGCCACAGCTCCGAGCAGAGCTGTGTTATATTATTATATATGTTATATTTAGCTGCTGCAGTGGCAGTGGCAGTCAGGGTGCTGTGCTTGCTGCTCTAAATATGTTCTGGCCAGTTGAGGTTTCCAGCCCTGTAATGGACTGAGTCCACAGGGAGCTGGGCAGCAATGTCACTGGTTTCCAGCACCCTGCAGCTGGGGAATTGCTTCTCTGGGTAGAGGACGTGGTGATTAATTCAGCAAATTTGGGTAACTTCTGGTAAATAATGTCTTTACTAATTGGGAGGGGGAAAAAAACCCAAAGATGGGTGTTTAGGGTGCTTCAGTGGGGATGTGCTGTGGAGCAAGGCAGGGTGGACACCTCAAACTGATCAGTTTTATTTTTGATTTTAGCCTTTGCTAACCAAAGATTGCCTTCTCCTTTAGGGGTGCAGCAGTAATTTTTGGTGTCACGTCTTCTCTTCTAGCCCTGAATCCTGGTGCTACTGAGGCAACTGCAGGCACTTTGAAGATGTGGCTGAGCACAGAGGAGGGGCAGGAGAACGACAGGCTCAGGACGTGGTCCCTCGAGCAGGTAGGACACTGCTGTCACCTCGGGTGCTGTGTGTGATGTGAAACCTCCTGTCCTGGGCAGCCTGGTCAGGGCAATGTGGTGTGTTCCAGTGTGTCACAGAGATCCCTGTGCAGGGATCCTGATGGCTGAAGGAAGTGATCCTGCAGTGGCTGGCTCTGCTGCCTTGGGAGCAGAGCAGGGGCTGCTCTGTGGTCAGATCAAGCTTGGTTTATGCTTCCAGGTGTCCCTGAGAAGGGGGAAATTTTTATTTTCTTTGCTTTTGGATATCACTCCTTGAACAAAGCAGAGTTCAGATAGCCTGTGTGTTTGTACTTTTCTCCTGGCTGGCTCCTCTATCTGTGTGCTAGTTGCTGATTTACTTTATTTCCATATCACTTAATAAATATCCATCTGTCCCATGGTGTGGATGAAGGGTCAGGAGAGCAATGCTTTTTCCCTTTGGCTTCTGTGGATGGAAGAAGTGTGCTTGGAAATAACACTCCAGTTTCCATTACACCGTTCCAGGCTTTTGAAGAAGAAATTGGGTCTCATAGCAGAGCCAAGCCATTTTATTTGTACAAAAAGTAAGCTCCATGGTTGAACATTAGTGAGCAGACTGGCAGTGAATTTGTTCACCCAGTTCATGGCTGTGTGATAAATGACAGTGTCCCTGTGGAAATGGGGATTTTCAAACCCTGGAGTGGTTTCTACCCAGCTTGTGCCGCATCTGGAGACTGCTTGTTTCTAGACTTTATTAAATAATCAGCGTTGGGAGTACAGTAACTGGACTGATGCTGTTTGCTGCAGCTTTCCTGACACACTTCCAGTTCTGTAGCCTGTTAAACTGGTAGGAATAAACTAAGGCACCCTGCTGAAGCATGTGATGTGCAGGATCCACGTGCACCCTCAGCCCCCTGAGAGCTGTCCTCCTTGAAGTTCCCTCCATTAATTGCATCTAGGTGGGTCCTCAAAACCTTGTGGCAGTAATTGTGCAAATGCAGTGAACATTGTGGCTCCCTGGGTGTCTGGCTATTATAAACAGGGAATTTTGCAGGAGGAAGAGGGTGAAGCTTTGGTAGCTTCGCTCTGCCTTTGTAAACAGAGTCGGTCTCTTAGGACGGAAAGTAGGGAGAAGGGCATTAAATTTTATCTCCCTTGGTATCTGCCAGGGAAAGACAGCAATCATGGATGTGGATGGATCATGTGGAAGGTGTCTGGGCAAATAAGAAGGATTCCTTTGTGTTCCATCTGCAGAAAAGGACATTGTTCATTACTGGAGGGCCAGCACCCAGAGCTGGCTCATGGCTTGTAGCAGTGTGCCATCCTCCCTGCAAGCTCATGGTCCTGTGCTGGCCCACAAAGGCTTTTCAGTATCTTCTCTGGGAGCTTTAAGAACCAAGCTGAGGATCTTTGCTGCAGAAGTTGGCTCCTTTCTCTCTGCTCCTCCTTTTCCCCCACCCTCCTGTGGTGTCCTCTCCCTCCCAATTCATTTGTTTTTTAAACGATTGTGCCATTGTGTGCATCAATACGTGCATGGCCTGTCTTGTTTTTCTCTTGGCCTGAGAGTGCAAAGCAAATCTGTTTATGGTTTTGGTGAGCTAATTCTTCCCCACCCTAGATTTTTAAAAAGACTCTTTCTTTACCAAGCTTGCAGAGCTTGCAGGATGTATTGAAGTAATGGGAAAAATATGTTGTGTGTTACCCTTCCTTTTTTGTAAAACTTTATTTACAAGACCCTATTCCTGGCAGTGCATCTGGGAAGTGAATATCTGGATGCTGGAGAAAGTAGAAGACTTTGAAATAGCAAAATGTGCATTTAATGCATTTGGGGAGGAAATGTTTTGAGTTTTCCACGTTCAGCGCTTGCATTGTGAAGCAAAGTCTAGTGAGCTGTGCTCAGTTGTCCCTTTAATTATTTATCTTCGCCTGCAAATCCCAGTTTCTAGGCTTGGCTGTTCCCTGGGCTGTCTGTTACCTTCAAACAGGCTCCTCCAAGGCAGCTGCTGACCCAGACCTTGCAGCTGAAGGTAGAAGCAGCAAGGAATGCTCTTGGCCTGTAAATAGTGCCTTGGATTAAGGGCTTGGTATGTCACTGGTGTGTTGGAAATGTTATTTTTGCTTCTTGATTTCATCCTTCCTGCAAATCAATCTCAGACCTGTCTGTTTAGGTTAACAGCCTTCTCTGCATCCCTGGGGGGGTTTGCAGAGCTCTGCGTGCAGCATTTTCACCAGGGTGTTTTGGCTGCTGGGGCAGAGCTCAGCTCTGCCGTGGGAGCACTGGAGGAGCCCCAGGGACACCCCTGGCCATGATGCCTGCTGCTGGCTTCCTTCCCAGCCCTCGTGGTGCCTCTCTCCTGTAGCCTGCCCTGCCACAGCACCTCCTCACCTCCAGCCTGGCTGGGAGTTATTTCTGGTGACAGCTCTGAGCTGCTTGTGGCTGGCCATGGGGCAGGAGCTCTCTGTGGAGATGTGGGGCTTTGTGCAGCCTGGTGCAGGTTGGTGGGGCATGGCAGCAGGGCTGGACTAAGGTGATCTTTAAGGTCCCTTCCAAAGCAAACCATTCTGTGATTCTATGGCCATTACATGTGCAAATGCACTTCTCCAGCCCCAGCTCTGTAGGGCTTGGCTGAGGCCTCTGGGTACTCCTGTAACATAAATAACCAGGAGTAGGATTTCAAAGCAAGCAAATTTTTGACATAGTTGATGTCACGCCTCTTCAGCCCTGTGTTTAGGGCCCAAGGATCTGCAGGCCCACAGCTGCTAGTTTGGTCTTGTTGCTAATAACCCTCTGGAGGTGTTTCTGCTGAGCTGCTTCTTGCAGAGGGCTGAGGGGCTCACCCTGATCTGACGGTGTCAGGGAAGAGAGGCTCCATGGTGGGAACTACCTGAGGAGCTTTCCCAGAGCGGGGTGCCCTGAGTGAAGCTGCAGCCCTGGACGTGCTCCTTGCTGGGTTTATGGTGTGGAATGTCACTCCACAAGGACTTCTGGTGAGTAGCCTCAAAGCAGAAAGGGCTGGGGCAGGGTTATCCCACTCATGCAGCTCTTCCACCCAGAGCCTCTGCTCTGCCAGAGAAGAACAGATGGAGAAAAGAGATTTCATTTCCTCACCCTGAGAGGTAAATTTTGCAAGAGCTTCGTTCACCTGCAAATCTACAGCAGAGCTCAAAGCAAAGAATTCCCCACACAAAGGCTTTGCAAAGCAGGATTGTCCTTTGCCCGTGTAATTTGGTAGCACATTGGGTTTCTTTCTCTAAGAGTCTTAGAAGAGGTGAAGCTCTCTCTCTTTTTTCCTTTTCTGTCTGTTAAGCTGGCAGTGTTGGTGCTCCCCAGGAAGGTGATGGCTGGGCTGGCACTGAGCAGTGCCCAGGCAGGGGCTGTAGCCCTGAGCATGGAGCTGTGAGGCCTCTCTTACCTCCTCTTTTCCTATCTCCCCAGTCAGTATGTGAAACTGCAAAGTTTCCCAGCTTGCAGATCAGATGGAATTCTCCAGATGCCCTTGCATCCTTTTCCCTCATTCTTCTCTTCCTGCTCTTACTTGTTACTGACCTATTTGCTCAGGACATGTATACAGTATCAGTGTGACAAATTAAATTCTTGTACTCAGAAAGATGAGGCCACTGGATGCATAAACTTCTTAGCTAGCCCCACACTAACAGTTTTGACTCCTGCCCCTCACATTGTATTTTGTGAAAGGCAAATTCCATCCTGCATGTCCCTTTCCAAACCTATTGCCCAACACTTCCACTGTTTGTCATCAGCTGGAAGGGATCTGAGCACTGCAGATATCCACAGATGTGGTTTGATTGTCTGTGCTCTTACAAACCACATCTGTGTATCAGGAGGGTCTGGCTTTGCTGTTCCTCTGTGCAGTGGTGCTGCAGTGGCTCTGCTGTTCCTCTGCTGAGGTGAGCAGTGCCCCAGCAGGGCTCTGGGCTCCAGCAGCAGGAGACTGCCAGGAGCAGCAGTGGATGCTCCAGAGATGCCTTCAGCCAGCCCTGCCTGGGGGCTGTGGAAGGCTCCAGGGAGGGCTGTGTCCAGCCTCTGAGAAGGGACTGGGGTATGCCTGAACAGGTTTTCTCTATGAAGGGAAAGAGCTGTGCCTGTGGCTTGTGCAAGTCTGGATAAAGCCCATTGTATTGTTTTGTCCCAACACAAACCAGTGGCACGTCAGGTTCAAGGACAGGCCTGCTGCAGAGGGAGAGGCTTTGGCACGTCTGGCTCAGAGCTAAGGCTGCAATATTGTGTGTCCTCAGAGGTATTTGTGAAAGAGGACACAAATCCAAGGTGAAATGGCGAGTTCTTACTCACCACCCTTCAAACTGTGGACTGGAGGCCACCCTTCAAAACAAAGTGATTCACTACAGAGGAAAAACAGCTTCTTCTTTCCCAGCTTGATCTGGAGCCTTGTAATCACTTTGGTGGTTCAGCTCTCTGCAGCACTGAGGAGTTGTCTGTTCCAGTGCACTGAGCATGCTGCAAGTTTTATTTTATTTCCAAAACATCCCTTTAAGCATGTTGGGCTGTAAGGGAAACTCGTAATAATTCCCTCTGCCAGTATAATTCAGTGGCAGTGCAAAATAGGAGGGTATCTGACTAAAGGTGACCCATTAAAGGGTGATTTCTGATAAATAACTAGACTGGGGACTCACAAGTCCTGAGTTTAATTACTGACTTTGCTATAAGCTTCCTGTGACCTTGGGCGAGTTATTTAAAATTGCTTTGTGCCTCATTTCCCTTTCTGTAACACACTGGTGACAGCATTTCCCTTCCAGCAGGAGCTGTGGCAGTGGGAAGGTGTCTGGACCCTTTTCCATAGCTGCTGTGTGAAGAACCTGGATGGACTAGGAGGCATCTCATGGGCCTCTCTTCTGTTTTCCTGGGGAAAGAATATCCATTTAAAAGGTTTTACAAGCACCCAGAGAATAATGTTCCATTATTATACTCCTGGCATAACTGCACTAGTAATGTGGTTGCTCCTTGAGCTGTAAAGTGGTCCTGAGCACTGCTCTCAGCTCTTGAG